CACAAAAATTAGCCAGGTGTGGTGGTACATGCCTATAATCCCAGCTACTCGGGAGGCTGAGGCAGGAGAATTGCTTGAACCCAGGAGGCGGAGGTCATGCCACTGCACCTCAGCCTGGTCGACAGAGCGAGACTCCATCTCAAAAAAACAAAAAAAATGTGTAGCACCTCCCCGCTCTCTCTCCTGTTCCTGCTCCTGCCATGTAGGACAACTGCTCCCCCTTTGCCTTCGCTATTATTGGAAGTTTCCTGAGGCCTCCCCAGAAGCAGATGCTGCCATGCTTCCTGTACAGTCTGCAGAACTGTGAGCGAATTAAACTTCTTTATAAATTACCCAGTCTCAGGTATTTCTTTATAGCAATGTGAGAATGGACTAATACAAGACACTAACACTAATATGACATGATTGTTGTGATTATGTGACATGAATCTGAAAGCAGCCATCATAAAAATAATTCAATGAGCAATTTTTTTTTTTAACTTAAGTTCAGGGGTACATGCACAGGTCTGTTATATAGGTAAACTTGTGTCACAAGGGTTTAATGTACAGATTATTTTGTCACTCGGGTATTAAGGCTAGCACCCATTAGTTATTTTTCCCGATTCTCTCCCTCCTCCTACCCTCCACCCTTCCGTAGGTCCTAATGTCTGTTGTTCCCTTCTACGTGTCCATGCATTCTGATCATTTAGCTCCCACTATAAGTGAGCACATGCAGTATTTGGTTTGGTTTTCTGTTCCTGCATTAGTCTGCTAAGGACAATGGCCTCCAGCTCTACCTATGTTCCTGCAAAGGATATGATCTCATTCTTTTTTATGGCTGTATAGTATTCCACGGCATATATGTACTGCATTTTCTTTACCCAGTCTGCCATTGATGGCCATTTAAGTTGATTCCATGTCTTTGCTATTGTGAATAATGCAATGAGCAATTACAAAAATGTTTAAAACAAAAAAACAAACAAGAAAGTCTCAGCAAAAGAAACTCTCACCAAAGGAAAAAAGTTATAAAGAAGAATCAAATATAAATTTTAGAACTTAAAAAGATAATAACCAATATAACTCAACGGATAGGCTAAACAGAAGAATGAAGAGGACAGAGGAAAGAATCACTGAACCTGAAGACATAACAACAGAAATCACCCAATTTGAACAACAGAGGGAAAATAGACTGGGGGGAAAAGCAAAGGTCAAAGCCTCAGAGGGACCGCTGGGACTGTAAAAAAAAAAAAAAAAAGACCTAATATTTGTGCCACTGGAGTTCTGAAAGGAGAGAAAGATAGCAGAGGTGATAAAGAATTAATAGAAGAAATAATGGTTGAAAATTCCCCAAATCTGGCAAAAGACATAAATATACATAGTCAAGAAGCTGAGCGAACCCCAAACAGGATAAACTGAAAGAAATCTATTTCAGGATACATCACAGTCAAACCAAAACATATGGAAATCTAAAGGCAGGCTGGGCGTGGTGGCTCACACCTATAATCCAAGGACTTCGGGAGGCCAAGGCAGAAGGATCACTTCAGGCCAGGAGTTCGAGAGCAGCCTGGCCAATATGGCGAAACCCCATTTCTACTAAAAATATAAAAATTAGTTGGGCATGGTGGTGCACGTCTATAATTTCAGCTACTTAGGAGGCTAAGGCATGAGAATCGCTTGAACCCAGAAGGCAGACGTTGCAGTGAGCTGAGATCGCACCACTGCGCTCCAGCCTGAGCGACAGAACTAGACTCTATTTAAAAAAAAAAAAAAAGAAAATTAAAGAAAGAAAGAAAAAAATAAAAGAAATCTAAAGGCAAAGAACAACCTTAAAAGAAGCCAGAGAAAAATGGTGTGTTACCTACAGGGAAAAACAATTTGAATGACAATGAATTTCACATCAGAAACCATGGAGGACACAAGGAAGTGGTACATTTTCAAATATGGAAAGAAAAGAACCATCCACTCAGAGTTCTATATCTGGTATAATTATCTTTTACAAATGAAGAGGAAATCAAGACCTTCTGAGATGAAGGAAAACCAAGAGAATGCATCACCAGGAGACTTACTCTAAAAGAATGGTAAAAGGAAACTCTCTAAACTTAATCACAGAAGGAATCTTGAAACATCAGAAAGGAAAAAAAATAACATGGAAAGGGCAAACATGTGGGTAAAGACAATAGACATACACTTTCCTTCTCCTCTAACTCTTCTCAATTGTGTTAGATGGCTGAAGCAAAAAATTATAGCATTGTTTGATGTGGTTCTCAATATATGTAGATGAAATATTTAAGACAAAGTATATTACAAATGGGGGAGGGTAAAGGGATTTAAAGGAAGGTAGAGTATATACACTTTATTCTAACTGGTAAAATGTTGACATCAGTACATTATGATAAGTTATGCATGTATAATGTAATACCTAGAGCAACCACCAAAAAAAAATTTATACAGAGAGACAGACTATAGATTTTTTAAAAACACAATATAAATAAATCAAAATGGAATTCTAAAAAGTGTTCAAGTAACCCACAGGAAAAAGAAAACAGAAAACTAGAAAATAGGAGACAAACAGAAAACAAGAAAAAGGCAGATTTAAGCCTAATATATTAACAATTACATTAAAAATACATGGAAAAAACTCACCAAAAAAAGATAGAGATTGGCAAAAATTATTTTTTTAAAAAGTGACCCAACTATATTCTGTCTACAAAAAACTACACACAGTCATTCAGACAGATCTGAGTAAAAAAAGCCAATCTCAAAAGGTCACATAAGATTCCATTCACATAACATTCTTGAAATGACAAAATTATAGATATAAAGACAGATTAGAGGTTGCCAAGGGTTAGAAGAGAGGAGTGGTTAGTATGGGATGAGGGATATCTTTATGGTGACAGAAGAGTTTCTTATCTAGGTGGTGGTAGTTACACAAATCTATACACATGATAAAATGATCTATAACTATATACATACATTATGCCAATGTAAATTTCCTGGTTTTGGTATTGTGCTACAGTCATGCAAGATGTACCCACTGAGGGAAAAAGTGAAGGGTACACAGGACCTCTCTGTACTATCCTTACAACTTTCTGTAAATCTATAATTATTTCAAAATTTTAAAGTTGGAGGAAAAATATCAAACTGCCAGAGTTCAAATTCAGGCTCCAACACTTCCTGTGTGAAATTAGGCTTATTTAACCAATATGGGCATCAGTTTTGTCATCAGCAAAAGGAGGATAACAGTATCTACCAAATTATAACCAGAAACATATAACACACCAAAAAGGAAATGATACAAGTACAATGTGGATGAATCTCAAAAGCATTATGCCAAGTGAAAGACAGGAGACACAAAAAAGACATATCATATACTTTAGTTCAAATAACACTTTGGAAAAGGCAAAAACTATAGGGACAGAAATCAGATCATGGTTGCTTGGAGCTGGGTGTGGGGAGAGGGAACTGAACTACACATCTTTGAGTAACGCCTTTTGTTATAGTTTTGACTTTTGAAATCTTGCAAATATTCTATTCAAAAATAAAATTAAGCCTACAAGGATAGGGGGAAAAAACTTAAATTGGGGGAAGGGGCACAAGAAAACCCTTAAATTAAATGCAAACAAACCAAACCAACCAAACTAACTGTATTTCAAATGACTATTATAATTAAACTGAAGCATGGGAGGGAGTAGTGGAAGACCTAATCCAGATACTTTCACCATATGCTCTCAGTTGGTCTACAGAGTCAGTCTGTGGAGAAAAAGCTGCAAACAGATCTTGAACTGTTTTTAGTAGCTAAACCCAAATTCCCAAATTGAGAAACATTAAAAAAAAAACTGGCTTATATTCTTAAAACTGTTAATACAATCAAAGAAAAGCAAAAAATTATTCCATGTTAAAAGAGATTAAAGAGACAGGTCAACTAAACATAAAACATAATCTTGGAGCGGATCCTTTCTTAGAAGGAATAAAATGCCTTAACAGACATCACTGGGACAGTTAACAAAAGTGGAATATAATAACTTCAGATTAAGATATTAGAAAATAACTATAGATTTTTAAAAAGTATTGTAACAATGTTAAACTTCCTGAATTTGGTAACTGTACTGGAGTTATTTAAGATAATATCGTTATTCCTAGGAAATACGTACTGATAAATTAAGAGACAAAGAGTCATACATATGCAATCTTCTTTCAAAAAGGTCGGAAAAAATTAATGAAATGTTATATATAGTAGTAAACAGACATATTTATATACAGACAGAATACTTCAAAGGAGCTGGGGTTCACAATTGATGAGAATAAGTTACAGTCAGGAGCAGCAATAGGAGAGTAGTATCTACTCTACTCCCTGGCCTTACAATATGTGGACATGATAGAAAAAGCCTCTGACTGAGAAGGCTACGAAACTGCAGTACTTTGTGGGATATTCAGATGTCAACTAATGCAAAAATAGAGAAAACACCCAGAAGAAGTGAAGGTTATCTGGCAGTCTATTGATAACACAGAGTAAGGGTTTGGAGGGGAAGTAAAGAGTAGGGGACTGGGCTAGAACAGATTTCCAGAACAGCCAGTCTGGGTGGTAAAAAATGACTTGAGGGTAGAAGATGTAAAAAGGAATTCAAAGTAGGTGGGAATCAATACTGGTGATCTCTGAGTGGGCATTACTTCTAGCTCCAAGGTCTCTAAAGCTCTGCTCTGTGGTGTGACAATTTCTAGAAGACCTTCTTTGGGAAGCCTTTCCAATTATCCACTGCCAGAGAGTTAGACACCCTTATCCTTAATGCCCATATATATCATTTAACCCATATTCAATAAATATTAGTTGAATAAATTCACCATAACCTGAGTAGACTATGAGAAAATTAAATTGAAAATAAACTTCACAAAAGGAATGACATAGCAGAATTTCATTTTTGAAAAAAGTTTCTGAAGTTAAAATAAGGAGTTGGCTTAAAATCGAAAGAATATAAAATGGAGAATTATTTCTAGTTGATTTTGGTTTAAAAAAAAATGCTTACTGTACAACAAGCTGCTGGCACACAGTTCCATTCTCCGTTATCAGTTCATTCAGTTTTAATTCAAGGTGAACTTTACCCTATAATGACAAAAAAAAATTACAAACTGAGTAGTCTATTTTACTGAGAAAATATTAAAGGTAAGTGCCTTTTCAAATTGTCACAATATTTATCCACTGACCACTAGCACATGGCTTTGCCTACACTAAGTACTTGTTAAATGAATAATAACCAAAACCAGAGATCAAAGTTCTGAAAGCTATGAAACAAATACTTATGTCAAACATGGTATTCAAATTTAAGAATTTTATGTCCAGTTCAATAAATATTTATGTATCTACTTATCATAGGCTAAAAAGAAACATAATACCTAAATTTAAGCAAATTTTGAGATACAACCAAATTATAAAATGTAGGATGCTTTTTCCAGAAGATAAACCAGCATTAAGGACAGAATCAGCATCATTAAAACACAGAGAAATCATACAATTCTAAAACAACTAAAAACTAAGTTACAGCCAATAAAACTCAATTTGTCACTACTTACTTTGATCAAACAATAAAGATTTATGGAATGTCTACTATGTTTCAGAAGGCACTGTGGGAGTGGGTAGGAATCCATAGATGTCAAAGATGTAAGTTACTGCTTACAAGCAGCGTACAATCTAGTTGGGAAGACAATAAACAAAAGATAACATATGGCCAAGAGTCTTGATGGAAAGATGGGACACTGAAAATAAAGGAGTACTTTCTTAAAGAGACATTAATAGACTAATTTTAAAAAATTAAGTAGTGTAAGTTTAAAACAGTTCAAACTATCAACTTCTCAAGAAACAAAGTCTTAGGAACCCTATAATCCAGAGCTTGATATTTCTACCCTGCCGCTGGTGATGAGCCATTCTGCGCTAATCATGAGCAATTCTAAGCTGGTTAAGAAACAGTACCGGATTACCTCCACCCAGCTGACAAGACAAATTCTCACATTGCCATGTGGAGATTTCAGGGGAGTGATGTCTAGGGACTGATGACATGAGTGATTTCATTAGAGGTAGGAAAGTTCATTATCTAGTCACTGTTCCTCTTTAGAACAACCCCTTTCAAACATTCTTTCACAGAAACCTAACCTGAAACACCCTCACTATTTTAAGAGGACTTGTGACACAAGAATGAATCTGAGGTCCACCAGCTACAAAGCTCAGGGTTAGATGAATAGTAAGAGATGAGCAATAAATACTGATGGATCTTAAAACAAAAGTCTGCCTGAGAAAGCTAAGGTCTAAAGCAGCAAACACATCTATGGTAGCAAAATTAATAGCAGTTACCTGGAGCTGGCACCAAATTAAGCAAATCTTCCACTAAAAATCTAGGTACAAATATTCATAAAATCATATATAATTTATAAACTAGGTCTTTCATTATTCCTGCATTTAATATTTACAATCTCTACTATTCAAGGGTGATCTTGAAGATCCATGATCTGTAATTTGTAATATTACTCAACTAGAATTTTGAAATCATATTTTCTGTTGTGACAGCATGTAGGTATTACTTGGCTAGCAAGGGCGCCAAGCCAACTACACAAAAATTTGCATCTCAAAGCAGTTTTACAATTTTAACATATATACATTTTATTACAGAAACCGTATGCTCACACAACTGTCTCTCAGGAAATGTCTAGGATCTATTCCAGTTCTAAGACATTAAAAACTATGACAATAGAGTAGAAAAAGATAATCATTTTGTTTACAACTAAAATCATAGTATTATAGCAAGTCAAAAGGATATTTAATAAGATTCTGCCAGAAATCATTATTATTAAGTGAGAGCCTACCTAATACATTCATTACTCCCACTGACTGGTAAGTAAAATATTCCTTAGGTATTAATCAACAATAACATAATTATATATTGACCTGGTCAAGAAAAGTGTGAGGATAGAATAGGCAGACACAAAACACATACTGTTAGGGTAGAACACTAAATTAAAAGGCATTATGAGTTAAACTAAGGAAATTATAATTTCTAAACTGTAAAACACTAACTCATTATATTCTTTAACATGGAAATATATATGATACTTAGCAAAAGAAATCACAAAATAGGCTGCATACTATAATGCTAATTTATTTAAAAAAACATATATGTATAAAATTACAAGACCATCTACTGAAATGTTGATACAAGATACCTTTGGTTGGTGAAATTTCAGAAGACTTTCTTTGCTTTTTTGCTCTAGATTTTAAAAGTTTATACTACTAGTTTAAATTTTCAGATTTTAAAAGTTTATACTACCAATTTTGTTTTCAAAGTTTTTAGTTCTACTGTGTTGTTCTTAGTAAAGAAAAATGAACAAAGTTTCAAATTATTTAAAACTGCTTTTCAGTTTTAGAAACTCAAATCAGTGAACATTTTAGAACACTCTTTGGTCTCTTTTCACACAAAAGTTCAGTTTTACTTATATCTGTAATCATTTTATAGATTTGGATTGTAGCAAAACAAGTTTGTGTGTCTGTGTGTGTTTGTTTTTTGATGGGGCAGTTATGAGCCCAGCAAGCTGACATTTTGTAGCCTCCCTTGAGACCATGGATAGCCGTATGACGTAGTCCTGGCCAACAAGATAGAAACAGAAGTTGCTGGCGGGAATCATACTTCTTCTCTAGGGGAAATATATCATTCAGGCCCTCAAATGATCTTCAATATATTTTATATTTTAATCTCCAGCATTCCATCAAAAATTACAGAATATGCCAGAAGATCAAAAACCAAGGGAAAAAAATGAGGAAAGCAGTGGACTTACAAGAGATACAGATATTGGAATTGACAGAATTTAAAACAGCTTTTTTTTTCTTTGAGACAGAGTCTAGCTCTGTCACTCAGGCCAGAGTGCAGTGGCGTGATCTCAGCTCACTGCAACCTCTGCCTCCCGGATTCAAGCGATTCTCCTGCCTCAGCCTCCTGAGTAGCTGGAACTACAGGCATGTGCCACCACGCCTGGCTAATTTTTATATTTTCAGTAGAGACAGGGTTTCTCCATGTTGGCCAGGCTGGTCTTGAACTTCTGACCTCAAGTAATTTTCCCGCCTCGGCCTCCCAAAGTGCTGGGATTACAAGTGTGAGCCACTGCATCTGGCCTAAAATAGCTATTTTTTTAAAAAGACGTAAAACAAAATGAAAAATCCAGCAGATACCTGGAAACTATAAAATGAATGAAATAAAAAAATTAGAACTAAGTAATAAACCAGAAAATGCATTTAGTAGCAGAGTAGCCACAGCTAAAAAGAGGACTGGTGAAATGGGAGATAGGTCAGTAGAAAATAACCACAATGAAGCACAGAGAGGGAAAAAGCATAGGAGACATATGAGACACGGTGAAATGGCCTATTATTCACATCACTGCAGTCGCAGCAGAGAAGAGAAAAAAGGAAGAGGGCAGAAAAAAAAAGGAGATGAGATAATTGCCTGGAATTTTCCAAAACTCAGAGAAGACAAGCCACAGATTCAAGAACTCCTAGGGACAAATAAGAAAAATAAAGAACCTACAAAGAAGCAATATTAAGCATCCAACAAGGAGGCTGGGCACAGTGGCTCATGCCTATAATCCCAGCACTTTGGGAGGCCGAGGCAGACGGATCACCTAAGATCGGGAGGTGGAGACCAGCCTGACCAACATGGAGAAACCCCGTCTCTACTAAAAATAAAAAATTAGCCGGGTGTGGTAGCACATGCCTGTAATCCCAGCTACTTGGGAGGCTGAGGCAGGAGAATCACTTGAACCCAGAAGGCGGAGGTTGTGGTAAGCTAAGATCACACCATTGCACTCCAGCAAAACTCCACCTCAAAAAAAAAATAAATAAATAATCCAGCAAGGTACTGTGTTTCATAATAAACATGTAATGTGATTTGGTCTACAACTGCATTCTTATTATTCAATCTCTTAAAGGACGCTCAATGATAGTATACTTTTCATGTATGTCAGAAAATGTTGGAAGATCAGATACCTTGCACTGTACTATTCGCCTTTAATAAAAAATAAACCAAAGTCTTGAAAGGTATTGCTCTGTATGACTTCCATAGCATTGATTATGTTAGGCTGATACATGCAGTTATAATATCACATTATCTTGTATTAATGAGCATTCTGAGGAACTTACATTACTCTGGTACTGATATGGTTTGGCTGTGTCCCCACCAAATGTCAACTTGAATTGTATCTCCCAGAATTCCCACATGTTGTGGGAGGAACCCAGTGGGGAGGTCATTGAATCATGGGGGCCAGTCTTTCCTGTGCTATTCTCGTAATAGTGAATAAGTCTCACAAGATCTGATGGGTTCTATCGGGGACTTCCACTTTCGCTTCTCTCTCATTTTCTCTTGCCACTGCCATGTAAGAGGTGTCTTTCACCTCCCGCCATGATTCTGATGCCCGCCCAGTCATGTGGAACTGTAAGTCCAATTAAACCTCTTTTTCTTCCCAGTCTCAGATATATGTCTTTATCAGCAGTGTGAAAACGGGCTAATATATGTACTATTTGAAGATTTAGTATTTTATATGCTAACTTTATTTCAATTAATTTTACAAAAATTTCACACAAAAATATCTGTGATTATTTCAATTGTGTATTACATATATTCTTGGTACCATATAGAAGACACTATGTAAATTTCTGCACACAGTTTGGGAAAATAAGATGAACAGAGGTTGATATGGTTTGAATGTTTGTCCCTCCAAATCTCATAATGAAACGTGAGCCCCAATGTTGGAGGTGGCGCTTAGTGGGAGGTATCAGATCATGGGGGCAAATCCCTCATGAATGGCTTAGTGCCATCCCCTTGGTGATGAGTGAGTCTTGCTTAGTTAGTTCATGTGAGATCTAGTTGTTTAAAAGTATAGGACTTCTGCCTTCTGTCTCTTGCTCCCTCTCTCATCATGTAATATGCCTGCTCCTCCTTTACCTTCCACCACAATTGTAAGCTTCCTGAAGCACTCACCAGAAGCAGATGTCAGCACCATACTTCCTGTATAGCCTGCAGAAGAACTGTAAGCCAAAATAAACCTCTTTCCTTTACAAATTACTCAGCC